AAGCTGGAGGACCACCCCTTATCAGCTATTCGTGATAGATTATTCAATATACTAGCAGCTAAGCTCCATAACTGGAGGCTTTCTCTCCATCCGCCTGGGGACGTGCCATGCTGTGATGACGGGCTACCTAACGTGGGTAGGAACACAGAGTGGATACGAAATTTGAAACGAATACAATTAATACCATAATATTTTTTTTCAGAATGTCCACAACAGGAGAAACAATACTGAAGACAATGACCGATTACTGGGTCGTGGGCAAAGTGTCAAATCTTCGAGAATTCTACGTTGTCATCCATCAAAAAAATGCCAACCTCATAGAAATAAATGGTAAGAATATGTAAGGAAGTCAGTTTGTAGTATCAGTAGTAGAGAAAGACTATTCCAGTAACCTAGATAAAAATAGAGAAGTTTTCAGTGTGAATGTGCATGGCACTGTTGTAATTTATCAGAGTTCTTTCCCTTTTCTACCGTCCATTTGGACGGTAATAACTCAATTTTTCTCGTGTATATATGACGAAAACCGTGAAGATACCGGATACACATTGAATGAGTTTCTTGTGTCATATGCCCCAGAGATTTAAGTCCATGTAACAGGATATTTTAAGAAATAAATAACTTTTAATGTTGTACAAATTTTAATATACTTGATTGTAGGTAAAAATTATATCTGTGAACATCAAGGTTCAGTATTTTCAGTTTCAAACAATTTTGGGACTTAATTAAAATGGCCTAGTTCAGAATTGTAAATAAGATTTAATACGCTTTAATCTAACTAATAATTTATTTTTCAGATGAAGTGAAGAGGCTAAGTGACAGTCAACTTAAGAGCATATTTTTCCATGATTGAAGTGGAGTGAAGTTAGTGGAATATGAATTTGAAATTTGTTATAAGGAGGCACTTTTAAATTGTGTCAGTTCCCATGTACTATCAGTGAAATCATCCATTCCAATTGATCTATCACAGTTCTGTAATTATCGTGCATACATCCATTTTAATATGTAAATATGTTGTGTTATTTAAAAATAAATATTTTACAGACTGCATCAATGAGATTAGAATACATTAAAGATATTTAAGTGTTAACGGG